TATCAGAAGCATGGAGAAAGCACAATTAACATGAATGAAATGTTTTGTTTAAAAAAATGAATTAAATATTTCAGAGCAATACCTGGGGAAGGCTGATGATTCAGAGATTGCCTCTTTCTACTTCTCAGCATTCTTAATAGGGATGCTGCCCACCATAGGTCCAGAAACTTTGGGGACTATGGCGTGTTAATGTTTGCTTATTAGCCCTGACCTTGAAGCATAACTAAGGAGCAGCATTGTTCATGGACCATTACCCATCGCCCAGGATGGGTGGGTGAGTGGGGCTGAATGAAAAAGTCCTGGATTCACTGGGGACTGAGCACAGAGTTGCCTCTTTAACAGCCCTCCTTCTATGCAGGTTGGGGAGCTAACCTCCCAGTCTTCGAAGGAGGCTGTGAGGGAGCGGCGCTTACCATCTGTGCTTGGGGGTTCTACCAAGATCCCCAAGAATAGCAGCAGCAACTGCAGCTGCAGCAGCTGCTTGGGAGTTAGTGTCTCGGCAAAGAAAAGCAAATGCTCTATCAAGCCTGGTCATCCCAAAGCCTTTAAGTCCTGGGTTCTGGTCAGGGTTCAGGTTTGAAAATCACTTCTGCTGTCTTGATATTTCTCCACCTTTCTCTGGATTGGCTTTGCCTTTCTGCTCTTCCTCCGTGGTTTGTGTGTTTTATCACTGCCCAAAGAAATGCCCTAATTGTGATGAATCAAAATCCTAAATGAATATCGTGTGGCCTTTGAAATGATTGTTGGTGTTCACTCCTCAGGTGTGAGATATAGCTGCCCTGTGAGATCAGGCAGGCAGTTAATGTTATCTGAATTTTGAAGACATGGAAAGAGGTTCGCCAGAGAGGTCGTGTGACTAGCCCAAAGTCACACAGCCAGTGAGTGGCAAAACAGAGTCTGTCTGACTTAAGTTCACCTTACATTTTAATCACGTGTCATTCTTTATAAGCAGCTTACAGAATCCTCCAGCAAGTGGTCATTCAGAAAAGGAAAATTTTGATGACCAAGTGACAGAGGTAGTCATGGCAACAGAATCAGGACTTTGGTCCCCCTCTTCTGACCAAGCCCAGTTCTGTTTCTCTCCTACGTGGCTTCCCACTGGGGAAGCAAATGCATCTGAACTTTTGTGTGATCACATTTCTCAGAGTCCAGTCTGTGGCTGGAAGGAGGGGCTTGTTGTCTCACACAATCTTTTTTTTTTTAAAGATTTATTTATTTATGCATACAAGAACTGGGGTGCAGACCAGAGGTGCTGGGGGTGAGAGGATTCACCAAAGACAGAGTGGGGAGCAGATCAGGTGGATCTACTGAAATACACTGCTGAGGGGTGCAGCGGGCAAGACAGGAGAGGTCTGCCGCGCCATGTGGGTCCCCTCCGTGGCTAGGGATCAAATTCACTCTGCAGTGGCTGGTGATAGCTTGATAGCGCTGTCTTTAACCCCTGTGCCACCAGTAGGCCCATGTCTCACACAATCTTAATGATGGTTGACACCGAGTCCCGATGTGGCAAGTGTCCTCAAGGGATTTGCCAAAACAGAGACATTTTTCAGGCTACAAACTTTAATGCTGTAAGAGGTCCATGGCCACCCTAGAAGACGTGGCGCCAGGTCCCAGCTGAGCAGGGTCAGACCCTGTTGTATTAAGAAGCCACCTGGACCTTTGCAGGGGAGACCCTCCCTGAGGCCTGCTTCTTATTTCAGCTCTTGTGACTTAATCCTTTAACTGTAAAGTTTCCCTGCTCTTTCAGTCTGGCCTCCAAGTTAATGCTCTCTAAATGCAGCTTTTGTGATGTGAACTTCTCTTCCTCTGAGGGATATTCAGGTAAAAAAAAGAAAAAGGCTAAATTGGTTTTCCAAGTGGATCTTTCCACAGTGATTTATTTCCCTGGGAAAGGCTTAAGCTCAAATGTCATTTCTGGTTCTCGCTGTGGTCCTCCTCTGAGCTGAAGGGCTGGAGGGTACAGAGCTCAACTGCGGGGTACCCGATGAGGCGAAGGAGAGCAGGTCGTGGAATCTGGGGCAGGCTAACAAAGGATGCTTGGGGGGGGACAGAGAGGAGGGGGACAGGGGACAGCAACTGGGGTCCCATTGTCTGTGGTCCAGGGGAAAGCTGAGATAGCTCCGGGCTATCTGATTCTCCTGTGAGGAAGCCGCTAAGGGCTATTGCAAGATTTTAAGCCTCCACTCAAGCATTTCCAGGAATAGCCACACATTGGCTGCCAAGCTCCTTATCAGATGATCTCAGCAGGCACCTTCTCCGGAGACTTCCACTCTTGGGTGGTTCAGAGGGGAGGGTTGAAGACCTGGAGCCAGCGGGGTGGCCCTTAAGACGAGACCCTGAAGGAAGCTGGTAGGGTGGCAAACAAGCTCGCTGAACTTGTGACTGCCTATGGGGACAGGGTGTCCCCCCATCTTCCTCTCATTCTTCAGATTTTCGTACTCTGCACCCTGAGGGCCTTTTTTGGCTGTAAAGGAACTGGGCCTGGCGGTCCTGCCCCATTGCCATGGCTCAAATAGGTGAACATGCTTTTGCCTCATGAGGTGGGGGGTGGAGAAGGGGTGGGGCTGTGGAGAAGGGGTGTGGTGTGGAGAAGAAGTGGGGTGTGGAGAAGAGGAGGGGGCTAGAGAAGCAGGGGTATTCCGAGAGAACCAGACATGCTGTACTGCTCAGGCATCTCAAATCCGAGTGTCTCCTCCTTCCACCTGGACCCCTGCTGTTCTAGAGGCCTCTGATAAAAGGCGGAACTGCATGGCTGCCCAGTGATGGGGCACGATTTCCCCTGGTCCCTCACAAGTCCAGTGTGCCATGTGGACGTCTGAGCAGGGCAGCTCCTGGCAAGAGGGGTGAGCGGAGGGGCCTGTATATCACGGAGGGCAGGTGGGCCCAGCTCTCTTGCTTCTCAGGCTTGGACTTGCCCTAGGACTTGAGGAGCCTGGAGGAGATGTGTGGAGACATTTGGAAGAGACAAGAGGGTGAGAGACTTGCGGGGTGCTGTCCTTGGCAGAGACAATATCAGCCGTTGTCTTGATTTGTACTTTTATTTTGCTCCTTTTGTCCCAGACCTGCTGGCCCCTCCTTCCTCTTCCTGTGTTTCTCTTCCAGAAGGTGCCTTAGACTGTGATAACCTCCTGGGTCTCACTGGTCCTGCTTCAGGTTGACCCTGTTTTGCTGGGCATTTGCCCACAAGAGAATTTGGGGTGTTTTATTAGAAAAATATCCTTTCTTCTCCTCTGCCTCTATATGCACTAATTTAGTAAAGATCTAGCACACAAAGGGTCTGCCTCCTCTGTCTCTGTGGTGGGGGGCAGGACCGTGTTTTAGAGCATGCACTCCACAAGCTTGGGCTCCCTCAGCACCCCTCAGAGGCATACTAATACTGTGTGTGTGAGTGTGAATGAGTCTTTGTGTAAAAAACAGTGAAGCTTGGGCGGGACCTCTCCCCCTGACAAGGATAAACTACCTCCACCACCCTCTCTCCCGCTGGGGCACTTGTTAGAAGGGAGGGAAGGGGAGCAGCCCTTCCCTCAGGAGTCCTGACTTGTTTGTTCATTTGAACCCAGTAGCTTAAAACTTGCTTCCATAGGGACACCAGGGAGGCTTTCAAAGACCTCGCAGCTTTGTGGCTTGTGCCCTATATTTTAATGTTCTTTTACTCTCTGTAGTTCTGTTCTTGTTTTTCTGCTAGCAGAAGCTGGGTTAGGATCTTCTGGTGAGTGGAAACCACACTGGGCTTCCTGTTTCATGAAAATATGATGCTCCCGAGGGACAAAATAAAACAGGAGTCAAAAGGCTCTGTGTGGAGAACCAGCCTACAGAGAGCACAGCTTTTTGGTTTTGGCATCTTTTGACAATGACCGAGGCATATTCCACATTGTCCAGGGGGAGCAGGAGAGTCTCACGTCACGGGCTTGGGTCCTGACAGATTTATATTGGACACATGTTTTAACCTCTCAGGTCCTTTATTTAATAAAATGGAGACAATGATAATATTGCTCCTTGGGTTATTGTGAGAAGTAAATAAGAGCACGTGGAAACTTCTGAGAACAGTGCTGGACACGAAGACACTCTGCGTCAGCTAATGTTAGTCTTTCTGTTGATCGCTCTTTGTCATATATAATTTTTCAAGTGATCCTTATGGCAGCTCCATCATGGGGATGTTTTGCCTCCTCCACAGCCCACTGGCATGTCTACCAAGTACCTCAAACCAGACCTATTCAAAAGCTAACTCTGGATCCCTTTACTCTTCTGTCTTAGGAAACGATAGCTCTAGTTTTCTATTTTCCTACTCACCGTTTTCCTTGTGTCTTATTTCTCCTCTTCCCCTCACACCCACACATCTGCTCCATTGGCAACATCCCATTGGCTCTAAACTTCAAAATCTAATGTGGAGCCCAGCCTCCTGTCACACCTCCAATGACACCTCTACCCCCGACTACCAAATGGCATCCTGATCGTTCTCTCTGCTTCTGCAGGGAGAAATTTGCATCTGAGCTCTTCATTCCTATGTCCCCAGTACCTTGAACAGTGTCTGGAAAATAGTAGGTAGCTCAGTCAATGTTCACTGAATAAGTGACTTAATTGATATGCATTTTATAGGTAAGAAAACTTAGTTTAGGTAGTGTATCATAAACCCCTAGAGTTGACCTATTTTTTTTTTTTAATAATTAATGTAAGTACCAGACTCAGGGATGCCCAAGCATCCATAACAACAGGACATCCACTTTAAAGTGCGGAAACTCAAACGCATTGTCAGCCAGGCTGGAAAGCCAGGCCACTTGCCCACCGAGGCGCCTTTGTTTTACAGCTCCCAGCTGATTTAGATAATTGGTCAGTGGGAACCGCCTTGCATCCTTTCCCTTCTTTTATCTCTCTTTTGGGCACCTTGCAATCAGAAGAACCCTTTGGATTCTTCTGGTTGTAATATCAAGAGCCTGAGATTGACACAAAAGAGGTAGCTAATGCAATTTACATCACTGTGTATCTCCAGGTATCACTGGGAATCAACAGGATATTGGTGAAAATTGTAACATCTCCTAGGTAAGTAGATGGCAAATTAAAAACTCTTTCATTTAATTTTAAGCTCTGGTTACTTTACCTTATAGTATTTACGACCTACCTACCTTCCTATCTGTCTGTCTATCTATCTATCTATCTATCTATCTATCTATCTATCTATCTATCTATCTATCTATATCTATCATCTCTCTCTCTCTCTCTCTCTCTCTCTCTCTCATCTATCTATCAATCTTATATTCCCCCTCACTGTCTCCATGGTAAAGAAAAAAAGTGTTCATGGGTGGATTGCATCCCCTTAAAATAATTCAGGTGTCGAAGTCCTAAGTAACAACGTCCAATCCCAAAAGTTACCTCATGAGAAGATAAGGCTGTAGCAGAGGAAAGATAACTTTCCCTCTACCTTTATGATTTCTTGGCTGAGACATCTGTATTAAAAGACAAATTAACAGGAAGAAAACAAACAAAAGTTAGCATGTGTAACACATGCATACCTGGGAGATACTGAAGAAAAATGAGAAGCTCTCTGGAGTGGCTTAGAATTCAGGATTAAATACTGTATTCAGCTAAAGACAAAAGAAAAAAAGGTGGCGTGAGGAGGCTACTTGGAAACCAGGGTGAACTAGGGTAAGCTTTGCAGTGCAGATGTCAGCAGGTGCGTTCTCCAAACAAGGTCTAAAGTTCTCCCTGGGGATTAACCTTTCTCCTTCCTGATGGGCAGGGAAAGAGGGACACCCTTGTAAATTTGGGTCCTGCTTTGAGGTGAATAGAGGGAGGCAGTGAGCTTGAATTTGCTTCTCCTCCATTGCCGTCAGCTCAAGATGATCCTAGTGCCAAAATGGCATAATTTGGAGTGCATGTTCTAATATCATCTAAAGAGCTGATTGAGGTAAAATGACCTCATAGGGTTAGGTCCTATTCCGGTGTGACTGGAGAAGAGGGGGCAGCGAGCAACGACAGAGGAGAGGCCACGATAGGAGGTCAGCTGCAAGCTTCAAAGAGACTTCAGGAGAAATCAGACCTGCCGATGTCCTGATGCAGAACTGTGAGGAAAGCCACCCAGTCTGTAGTATGTTAGGGTAGCCGGAGCTGACTGTGTTAGGGAAGGAGTAAATCTGGGTGCTTACTGTGTGCTTTAAAGGGGAGAAAATGGACTAAAGCAAAAGCAGCCTTAGAATTTGCTTATTAGGGGACTCCTTGGTGGCACAGGGGTTAAAGTCTCAGCACTATCAAGCTATCCCCAGCCACTGTGGCCTGAGTTTGATCCCCGACCAGGGAGCTGACCCACAGGGCACAGCAGACCTCACCTGTCTTGCCCGCTGCTCCCCCTCGATCCACTTGTTCTGCTCCCCACTCTGTGTCTGGTGAATCCTTGCACCCCCCACACCTCTGTCCTATACCCCAGTTCTTGTTTGCATAAATAAATAAAATAAATCTTAAAAAAAGAATTTGCTGATCAAAGAGAACCAAGAGCTGGTAGCTTCAGCAATAGGCATCGCGTGTGCTTATGTATAACAAGTGTGTTTCTGTGCAATCCACACGCAAGTGAAGGAGAAAGGGCTGGAAAGGGACCTGTAAGTGGTTGCTCTTAGGGCGTCACATGTGTCTTCTTTAGAGTATGGCTGGGGAAATTTTAACACATGATGAAAAAACTTCTTTGACTATGGTGTGGGACATTCTTTTTCCCACACGTCCATGTGTCCCGTACCTGTGATTCATGATGTCCGTCTTTCAAATGCAAGGTGGCAGGCAGTGGGCTGCTTTCCAGGGTACCTATAACACAGTCAATGTGCTATTTTCTGGAAAAGAATATTTATTGTTTTAACAGCTGCACTTTTACTTTCTGGGATTTAAAAAAAAAATTGCCTGCACCCACCAATGACTTATAGGGATTGGAGAGCATAGCTTTGAAATTCCCAATTTAAAATATCCTACAGGTTTTTAAAAACTGCCCCCAAACCACAGCGTTTTTCCATTCTGACTGCCTCTTTACCTCTGGAATGATTGAAAAATCAAAAGCAGTTTTTAGCATACAGAGACTGGCTGGGGTTTTGGTCAAAAATTGTGTGTAGTTATGGCAATGCTTAGCATGAACCAGACTACTCTGGACACCTGCTTATCCAAGGAGAGCCAGTATCTATGGTATTCAGAACTCTTGCAAGTTCACATTTAATTTTCCTGAAGGTATTTGTCTTCAAAGAAAGATTTGCTTTTGAAGGGTTGCTGATGATATTGCAGTGCTAAACTCCCTGGGTTATTTGTTTTTGAGATGGTATATAAACTACTAACATTATTATGACACAATTACCAGTAAGTAATCATCCAATTGCCATAAACATGTCCCTCTCAAAATATTGCAAATTAATATTCATGCTTTCCTTGAATCCACCATTCTGAGCTAATGGGTGCTTGCATAGTTCATCAAAATGTACATTTTTTTCCCCAGTGAAAAGGAGAATTATAGTTCTTCATCTTGAGGTATGGGAAGATTCTTGTGACTGCAGCATTATTAGTTGTTTTGAAAGACAGTTTCCCTGTTACTGATGCAGCTACTAGCTATGAACTCTGCTTCTAAGGCACAGAGCTCTGCTAAAGCATCTGCTCTCCCTCAGGGCTTATTGTTTGAAGCACAGTATGGTCATTCCAACCTGGAGATTTACCAGGATACATAATCCTAAGTAACTGTCCTGTGTAATAATTGTTTATGTTCTTCTAAGAGTTGACAGTTTGGTCACTGTTAAGGGGTGGGTCTTAGACTCTCGCGAATGAGTAAATGATATCCCCTCCCCTAAACCTCAACTTCTACCAAAAGGAAAAAAATGTCCAATCATGCAATGGTTTAGAAATATAAAATTCACAAAGGTTATTGGAGAGGGAAATCTGGGCCAGAAAAGTAGTCCTGGGATAAATCAGTAGGTCTTAAAATTAAATGTGCACGGACTGAATTTCCTTCTGTGCTAAAGGGTGGCAATAGTGTTTTCTGCTGACCCAACCGGTTACATCAAAGATGATAAGAATATCTTATACTCTCCAAGCCTGAGCTCAGTGATTTTAAAACCCTCAGACAGACTTTTGTGTACCAAACACATATTTATAAGTGCAAATACACAGCGGTGTGCTGCTAAGTGCCTCATTACCAGCTCTCCCATGACACATGGTGAAAACCCTGAACTTCAGGGATCATCTCCAGCCGATTTAAACTTCCGCGGCAGAGGGCAAGCTAACAGGGAGACATCCCCCAGTGCAGGGTTGGGAAAAGTGTGCACAGTTGGCACAAGAAACTTCCAGACATCATAGATTACAGAATGGAAAACAAAAACGTTGACAGGGTGAAGGAACACATGACTTTTGAATGAATAAACCTGAAGTAAAAGGTAACATATGTAGGTTAATTTGATATTATACTGAGGGTCTGTGGATTAAAGAAGAGAGTTGAAAGGGAGTGTTAATACCAACCTATCTTCCTCTGGAGGCTGACCTGTCCTCTTTGGAGGCAGCAGGGCTGAAGGAGGATGTGAGGCCTGGAGTCAGACAGGTATGGATTTGAATTTGGCCTCTACCAATTCACAGTTTTGAGTCTATGGACAAGACATTTAATTCCTTTTAACCTCAGTTTTTTCATTTGTCAATGGAGATGCTAAGAGTTGCCTTGGAAAGTTCTCCTGATGATTAGACTAAAGCATAGTCTCTAATCAGTGCTTGGCTGTAAGGTGGGTGTTCATTATTATGAATTGTACCTGCTTTTTTCATTTTACTTTGTTTACAATAGTTGGGTTACATTGTTCTTTCAATGTATAAATCTCTGCAAATTATCCTCTTCTATTACATAGATTTAATTAGATAAAAGATGCCAAGGTTTCAGGCATGTAAGAAATATTTAAAAATATATTGTTGGATGAATGGATACTTGAAGTTCACATTATTGCTTGGGTTTTCCACAAACTAGAAATCTGTGGAATAAACCTTTGACTTCTTTTTTTTTTTTAAATCGTTCATATCTAAGAAGTTACCAATTACTGATGATTTTTCATTCCTAAATTAAAAAAAAATTTCTGCCCCTTCCTCTTTCTGTGCTTTCTGCTGGGTTAGTCATCATTATCCTCATGGCTTCTCTGCCTCCTGTCTGGAGCACTGTAAAACCATCCTCAACCAGATTGTCTGCCTCTAACCCAATGGTCTATGTTCTTTAAGGACCAATATTTTCTTGTGCTTATTTTGTCTCAAAGTCCAACAAAAATTCTGCCTCAATAAATGTTGATGTGATTATGGTAATGCACGAGCCAACTTTTGGGTAAGCAAATAATTGATGTCATTTTCTGGGTTGGAAATTACCTTCTAAAGTGCCATCCTCTGGGTTTCCTTATGTGTCCCCTCACATGCCATCGACTTTGGTGACTTCAAAATCCACATTGCAGACCCTCCCTGTAAGCCTCAGGTTTCAGGGCTACAGATTGGCCTCGATATTTCTTGGTGCTACTCCTGCTTGGTGAGGTGGAGTGTCACCAATAACCCAGTCCTATAACTGGGCTATTCCTGCATTCACCCACCTGGGGATGCTCTTTCTCTTGCTTGGACCCTGTCCCACTCGGGTGAGCCTCTTTGCAACCAGAGGTTACTGATGGAATAATTAAGGTTCAGTTCCCTGAATTAATGGAGGTTGGACTAAGCTTTAAAGGACCAAGGTGGAGAACACTGAATCTTTACTTGCCCTCAGCTGTCAGGAGTGGATTTCTGTGAGTCTGAATGGAAGCCAGTGCACAAAGACAGAATTCAAATCAGGTGCTTTCTTTGCTTAACCTTAAATGATGCTGTTCAGCAAGCTGAAATCACGCAGATAAGAAGGTGAAAAGTCCAGTAGAAGTGGAGTTTCAAACTAGCATAAATGAAAGGTTGTCTGCATGATTAGCAGTGGCTCACTTCTACCAAATTCTAAACACCCAGAATTGTTACAACTGGGATTTTTAAGTTGATTTTGCATGCACACACACATAAACGTGCACACACTTACTTATATTCTCCCTACC